AAACCAGATTGTAAATACTCAAAACACTCATACAGCCTTAGTTCACAATTCATATCCCACTAATATCATAAACGCGAAAGTTTGTATGTATGTATTGATGAATGGTATGTATTATTAATTTTTATTTCCCTTTCATGCTAATAAAAAATGGCTGAAGGCGTAGTGGCGTATTTCTCGTAGTTCTCTTCCTCTCCCGCCCGCCCTGGGCCTTGAACAGGGCCATTGAGCGAGCACCACCGACAAGTGACAAAGGTCACCAGGGGATGACACTCCCCTACAGGCTCTGAGAAGTGCCGTTTTACCTTGCTGAGCCCTAAAAAGGAATTAACCCCTTACGTCTTTTCCACAATGAACGCAGAAGGTCATAGTCTCTCCAAAAAATATGTGAAGCTTTCGTCAATATTTTCCATTAACATAAAAGCTATATGCGCAATCGTTAAATCGAGATCATTATCAGTTTAATGAAACACTGAAACGAGTTTTATATATATATATATATTTTTTTTAAGAATACCTTCATATTTTTTTACGTTCCGGATTCTTTTCAAGTATCGTGGTCACATAACGAAACTATAGACATAATGAAGTAGAAGTACTTATCGGGTACGCTTAATTACACTACTATAATATCAACATCGAGAATAGCTCGATGGCCCAGGTGGTTAGCTCATTCGGCCTGCTATGCTGCTAACTTTCGCAAGGTCAGTCCTTGGATGGGTGACCAAAATTTTATTATCTCTAGCTCCTCCGTGCTTCGTTAGACATATTAAGTCGTTAGTTCCTGCAAAGCTACAGTCGTTAGCACCCACCAATCCGCACTGGGCCCAGCCCAGTCTCCCTATTCCATCCATAGGGAAGGTCTGTGCCCCTACAGTGGGGACATTAATGGGCTGAATATCAACTTATCTATAAGTTCTAGTTTGAGCTCCACGCTTACAAATAATTTCATAAACATCAATAGGGTATAAATAAAGCGTATTTAATATAATTTTACTCAAGCTGTACCTACTTTCAAATATTTTATTAACTTGCTAGGTATATTACAAAATAGTGCCTAGCTTTAGAATACGTTTCGTATCAATTGGCTTTTACATAATCTGTTACCTATGCGTGCGCTTCTCGAACTATAACCTTTAAAATTTTAATAATTCCACTATACGACTCACTTGAGTGAGCTCCAATCGCGGTCGAAGCGATCTTTGTACAGCCAGGATCTCAGCTAAATATCCTGGCAAAGGTCATACAAATGTCAATGCGGCGACGACATCGACAGGCCTAGACGTTTCGCACGTGGGAACAAATTTTTGAAAGCCATTATTGTTCCTGACACAAATGCATGTTGATGAGTTTCACACCTTATGATGTTGCAACTCTTTTTTTGTTTCGTTTCATACAGACATCTAATAGTCAATCTGTCACTCCGTCGATTAAAAAAAGTTTTTCTGTAGTCAGCAATTTGTGTATCATAGGTACATAGAATCTCGCAAATCCTTTCGGGGTTAGTAAAGCTTCGTAGGTGCAGCTTGTAAGATAAAAAAGCGAGTGTGCTTATGACCACACGACTAAATTGAAACTTCTTTAGCTCCATCTGTATATATAAATATATATATATATATATGTGTGTGTGTGTTTGTGTACAATATAAACATGTACGTACATATGTACACATTTCATTTACTAACTATAAGAGAAAGAAAATGCGTGCGCGCACTGCTTTCTCTTACTTATATCCCCACTCAACTCCCGTTCGCCTCGCTAGAACACACTTTTCGTAACGCGTAACGCATTCGCTAGCTTACCCTCCAAGCCAAGCGTGCGTAAAGAAGTTTCACTTCCAAAAACTTATAAACATCACTATCATAGCCACATCTCTTCGACGCTGCATTTAGCATTGATCGCGTCTGAGATGGAACTTGTTGAAAGCAACAAACCCGAGAATTCTGTGTTCTGTGGTTAATACATTCTGCGTGAAATTTTTCTACCCCTTCTTTTTTTCTTTCTCTTGAATCTTGAATTATTTCCTAAAAATAGTAAGTGTCAATTACTCCCAGTCCAGTATATTTACAATATCACATTACATTGCTTTAGTCCCGCGTAGTAGTAATTAATTCGCTGAAAGACTGACGGTAAAAACGAAAATTAGTGCTACCACTGCAAGTCCCTAGAGCCGGCTTTTGTCAGTGTCATAAGATAGATATCTTCTTAACTTAATTAACAACCGGTATCTTATATTGAATAAGGAACTCCGTCAAAATTCCGCATTCAAAGAGACCTTGTTATAAACTAGCGGCCGCCCGCGACTTTATCAGCGCAAACTTTAGTTTTTTTGAGAATTCCACAGGAACCCTAATTTTTTTTCGGGATGATGAGTATTCTATGACTCAATCAAGGTCTTGACAATATGCGGACCAAAGGACAATGTTAAAATTGGCCTAAGAACCAACACCAATTTGGCATTTATGATAATTCTTAGTATATTTTTTGCGATAATTATCAGCATTTAGATTGTGACGGATACTTCCAGTTAAGTAAGCTAAATTAAAAAGTTAAAAAATAATCTGAGACAATAAATACCATTTTATATGTTTAATCTATGGCAGCGCTGCAAACAAAACACTCTTTCTTCCTAATGCCGGCACTTCACTTGGCTATTCGTATTTGCTATATCAGTCTGTCCTTTTCATTCCTTATTAAGCATGCTTAACAAGGACAAACTGTTGTCAAGTGAAGGGCCGGCATAAAACTTGGTACTCTGTGGTTGTGGTGCATGCAGTTTCATAGTAATCTGTGGCATTCTTGCATTCCAAAGAGCAGCTTATTATACCGGAAAGTGCATCCTCGTTTCGGATTACCTGTTGTGTGTGTTTATTTGCGATTGTTTTTCCTTTAATTTAACTATTTCGGCTATCTAATATGCCATCGATGTTACCAAAGAGCAGAGCCCTTATTACCAAGTGCTAGTGAACCTGTGCCACAACATCCTGAGAGGATCATAAAGCCAAATTATTCAAGAACACCCTAATACACATTCACGCTGCATATTAACACAATATGCATGTGATATACAAATAAATACAATAAACAATATGAACAATTATGGTAAAAATAATCAATAAATAAGATGCAAAACTACAGTTTTTATTTTATTCATGATTCCTACCTAATCAAGTTTTTCTATTAGGAAATAACTATTAAGTTATTCTTTAAAATGGCACCGAATAAAATGAATTAGTTATAATGTTAATTCACTTCATACTGAGTTCATACTAAGTTCATAGATTGACCTATGTTTCATTGAATATTAAACTTAACCTCAAAAAAAGTTTAGTTTTCCCTAATTATTTAAGTTCTCAGAAGTGTCCGTCAATAATCTTTGTTTTTACTGTCATTTACTTATGATTTCGAACCTAGAAAATAATATTTCATGATTGTTGGTTCTTAGGCTAACTATGTATGGACGCTGAACAATATCCTTTGAACCAAATGCGTTCAGTAGTTTTTGCGTGATTGAGTTACAAATCTACAAACACTTTGTGTGTTTGTACAAACTTTTTCATTTAAAGTATTGGTAAGATTGCTGAAGTTTCTTTCTGATATGGACTAAAGTCAGTAGGTAGGTCAGTACTCATGAATCACTTAGAAATGTTATTAGGTAGACAATCACAGATAATGTTTATGAAAAATAATAAACGTACTCACATAGAAGAAATTTGATTATTTTCGGGGTTTTTTAATTGATGAATCTTGTAAGATAGAATGGAACCGCTCTTATATTTGTTCTCGTCCCCTTCGCTTACATTTGTGTCTGTAATTGTCCTTTTAATTGCCATTATTTTATCTTCGCAAAAAAGTAAGAGTGATATTTTGCTTTTCTCCTAAAAGGTTATCTAAAGTAAAAGATATAATATACCCTTATTCAACTATATCAATATGTTACTATCATTGTGATCAATAATAATAATAGTATGCGTTCAGTAACAAAACCTTACTATAAATGTGTCTTTCTTTCGATCAGTCACTATAACAAATTTTAAAAGCGATAGTTAAAATCAATGATATGAATGTCATTTTGTCATATATTTTTCTCAGCAGTTGGTAATCGGATTGGTAACCAAAATTTGTATGCCTAGCTCCTTCGTGCTTCCAAAGACACGTAAAATGTTGTATTGTTCTCGCTGTTGAATACTGCTTCTTTAGATTCAGCCATATTCAACAGCGAGAAAACGCATAGGCTAATTAAATCGGCCTATTTCAGTTTATTTTAGTCCAACGTTGGATGTGCTTACTTTTCATGTTTTTTATAGCCAGGTAGGCTATAATGTAAAGTTCCATCCATCAAACTAAATAATAATACAACTATGTTCTACATCTACGTAGCTTTCTTCGTAGTATATACTACTTAAAACATTCCATAATAGAATAGTCCATATCGCTTGCAAGACAGTAGATTCATAACTCTTACTAAAATATTTTGTGGAATATAGTACCAGATTGCCAGCCTATCATGAATGTTGAATCGCTAGACCAGATATAATGCATTCCCAATGCCACTTTTGTCTACGTCTGGTAATAGGCTGAATTGGTGATGAGAATTTTATACTGAATGTAATATTGTTAACAATAGGGGTAATGACCAGGTAAAGTAATTGAAATTCTGTTAAGTCTGCCAGTTAGATTATCAAAAAGTAGTGGACAGTAATTTTTTCTTTTGTCAATCAACCAACAAATAACGAATATAAAGCGCGTCAACGTTTGGGAGTGGGGGTTCATGACGTCACTTCTAAGTAAATATTGTACTAAGACGTAACGTTATGTGAAATTTTTAAATTCTACTCTGTAATGTTTTTCATTCTGTGAATAAGGAAAAAAATAGGTGACCGACAGATACTTTTTTCAAAATCTACCTGATAGACAAAAGTCAGTCTATTATCGATATATTTCTACTGCGAAATCTTCACTGCACATGTAAATTCAATTAAGGGTTTAAATAAAACAGTACTTTCATTGTTTAACTTAATGTATTTAACTTATCAAGTCTTATGAGTACACTACATTTAATGTATCACTAAAGCTGCTTAGGATCTCGCTTTGGGAGCCGGCGCGTCTTCGGAGTCCTTGTACCAGTCCTCGCTGTGAACAGAAAGATAAAATATTAGTATGACCTCATATCGTGAAATAAGGAGAAATAAAAGATCGTTGTTGATCAGTTAAGCAACTTTCGCACTGGTCGATCTATAGATGGGTGCTTCGGAAGGCACGTTAGCCGTTGGTTCTAGCTGCATCTGCAGTCGTTAGCACTTTAGTAGGCACTAAGGACTGCAGATCCCAGTGCGGATTAGTATTCGCACTGGGCCTGCGTGGTGAGTCATGGCTCAATCTTCCTATTCCATTCATAGGGAAAGCCTGTGCCCCTGCAGTAGGGACATTAATAGGCTAATGATGATGATGACCTCATAAACCAGCAAGTGTACCAGACAATAAGATGCACTTAAAGACATTTCTTACTTCTGTATTCAGTATTTTTTCTCGTTAAGTCCGTAGGGCTGGTAATATGATAGATTTCGAGTAAACTATACAAATCTACGAGTAAAACATGTCGATTCGGCTTTATATACATTACGCTTAACAATAGGCGGGGTCATTTAACATATTTGATTAACATAACTTTGCGCCATATATCTCTAACCTGAAGGAGCTCAATGGTACATGTTAGTACGTTCCTTCTGCGATCGTGAGAGTTAAGCAACTTCGCAATGGATGAATCCATAGGATGGGTGGTCATAAAATTTGTTATCTCAATAGCTAACGTACTTTGTATAGCGCGTTAAGCTGTCGTTAGCACCTATGAAAAAACACTATCTTTTCCATCTACAGGGATAGTCCAAGAAGCTTATGGTATCAACGAACAACAGTGCACATCTAACATCAAACATGCACCGAACTGACGTATATGAGAACAAGAAGAGACAGAACAAAAATCCAATTAAGAAAAAAGAACCTATCTACAACAAAATTTATATTGACGAATTGAGAACCTCATCCTTTTTGAAGGCGGTTAAAATGAAGTGCCGTATCACTCACCAGCCTCGCACGTTTTCGGGGGCGTCACACTTCTGCGTCTCCTCGTTGTAGACTTCTCCTACTTGGCATCCGAGGTCGCGGGGCTCCACGCCGTTGAGGCACACGTAGAACCGCTGGCAGTCGCTCGGGTGGGCGAACTTGGGGTGGGCCACGATCTGGCCGGACGCGTCAACTTGCTGCTCCTTGGGGCACTCGAAGCCGTCCTTCAGTTTCTCTGTGAATGTTAACATGGTATTTGCATTAAACACCCGTAGTTATTGTATTTTGTCAAATTTATTACACAGTGAGTACGTACGGGTACGTTCACTCGACTGCTCACTATCTACATTATTGTCACCCATTTAGGAAACGTGTAAGTTAATCAAAAAATAAATCGAATAATTAGAACTTTCGAAAAAGTCCCAGAAACTAATTTTATCTCTAAGTTATCATTCGAAATGAAATTGTAAGTAATTTTTTTTACAGTTGGTGAGTTAACTTGCTAAAATTTTATTAATATAATAATAGATCCTTTTAAAAATAAAGCTAAGCTCTTCTTCTAGTGAGGTTAAGATCTTCTAATTCTTCTTATAACGTTTTGATCTATACTCACTATCTTGTACGTTGCATCCCTGCCTGCCGGCCGCATCGGGCCACACGCATGTGCCAGAGTACTCGTCGAAGTGGAGCCCAGCGGTACACTTGACCTCGATGGCTTCACCCTCGATGCAGTTGTAGAAGATGTTGCAGACGGCAGCGTCAGGGTGGGCGAAGAAACCGTTGCGGCGCGGGCACTGTTGGCTTGGCTTAGGGGGTTCTGCCGGACAAAAAATGTTTCTTATTGTAAAGTGAAGTAAGACAAACAAGTAAGTATATGTTTAATAGTAAATGGCAGCAAAGGTTGTAGTCGATTTGATGCCAAATACTAAAACCGAAATTAATCGCCGAATCCTACCTCCCACAGTATTTATTACATATAGATTAAGTTTAAAATAATAAGAATATCTGAAGGTCTAAATGACGCTATTTTTCCAAAGTGTTTGTACACTTTATTCTGGGATAAGATAACAAATGTAGAAGACTAAACCATCCCATATAGATGTAGGATTATGTATTTTTATATATACCTACATGCTAAGAATAGTTATAGAACTATTTTAGCTGATCAGGTTAGACTAATACAATACGAGAAATAGTAATGATGATATAAATTGTAATGAACTAATAACAAGGATAAGCAAATTGTTACTTATATTACATGAGACTTCGTCTTGAATAAATATTTTCTATTTGTTTATAGTTTATCGGTGTAAAAATACTGTATCGCACATTTGAACAGGTCCCACAGCAGATGTTACCTTTTTATGCTAAAATATTCGCACAAGGGAAAAGTTGGCCTTAGGACCTCGCTCACCTTGAACTTAAATAACATCATGGTCACACCGTTTTTAAGCAAATATGTATTTTGGTCGTCCTGCGAAACTTGTTCGAACACACAGAGAATTAAAACCAGATTTCACATAAAGGCCTTCCCGAAATCGTGTGATTTCCATAATTAATTTAATGCGATGCATGCAACTGACTGCATACAGGTACATAAATCAGTTAAGAATTAATAAATGGGTAAGCGTTCAGACAGCCTTGAGAGGAACTGAGGTCATTCATTCTAGGAAACGACCACAACAAGAACGGGAAGCAGATTTGTTCTGCTCTCTCACCGCTTAACAAGAATTTCTGAAAGTAGATACACTTCTATTCAAAGGTTTTTCCGTTTGCGGCTATACTCGCCTTGAAATACGAAAGTTGGCAATTGTTTTTTTTTCTGTACGTTCAACTAAAAGGGGAATCTTTTTTGTCAACTTGCAGTGTGTAAATCCGATCTAATAATAAAAACCGCTTATTTCTTGCTATAACACTATTTTATCATCTTTATCAGATTTTTGTAATCAATAAATGAGAATTTAGGATTTTTTTTAAACACACGCCAATGATCCTGGCTTTGGGGCCAGTAAGCACTGTAGGCTTGTAATATGGGATACTACGGTAACGGATAAAATACATATACTGATACATATATAATTATATTTATATAGGAATATATAATAAATATCCATAACTGCAGTACAATACTCGGACTCATCACACAAACATCTGCCCCCCCAGGATTCAAACTCTCGAGTAGGTGATATCTTGAAAACCAGCGTACACTCGGCCGCGAAGGTCGGAAATATTTGTTATATAAAATAAGCCCTGGTATATCAAACACAAAGAGCTCGTGACAAATCAGAAACTGGATGCTACTCGAAACACGAGTCACGAATTTTAAAGAGAACCATACATTCCGTAGTTCGGGCATGCGTTTGATTTTAAAAACGTGCGCTGCCTCAAAAGTTCTCTATAAGAAGACAATACGTACATATATACATTGTGAGGCTTTAACGCGAAGTGAATGTGTTTGCGTATGTCTATTAAGAGTACCTATAGGTTGTGGCGACAGAGCACTAGCTGACCTAGAAAGGCGACCGCCGGTGTCGACCTGCGTGGTCAAAGGTGGTAATACTGGACACATTCACTTATAGGGACCGACGACCTTAAACATTACACTAGAAACATGGTAAATTTAATCCTTAAACGTAATAAATATTTTGATCACCATTCCCAGATTTAAATAGAACATGATAAGAAACTCGCATAAATCAACATTGTGAAAACAGAACTATTTTTGGAATGTGAGACATTTAGTTTGCGCACGTCACGGTTCAAGGATGAAACGATTATCTTTAGTTATTCTAGTTTAGATTAATCATGTCATTTTAAACAAATTCTTTTGTACGCTTGTAATTAATCACTTAGGAGACAGCTACTTTTGCAAGTTTCGACAGTTAAGAAGTCAAAGTGACTTGAGGAGATTCTCAATCCTAAATTGGAGACAAATCAATTATAACATTAGTGTATTTTGTCGTCTAATTTATGCTATCGTGTGCAAACCTTATTTGATTGTATACTTAACTAACGGCCCCTGGACTTAAGCCGAGTTAACTTTAGTTTCTGAGAATCCCTTCTTCCTCTTCCTCCTCCTTTTCCGGGATAAAAATAATCCTGTCTCAATCCAGGTCGTGACTTATTTTCATCCAATTTCATTATGTAGTTTTTGTGTGATTGAGTAAAATACATACAAGAAGACAATCTTAGAAACTTTTATTATTTTGCATAATCTTGATTCAATTAAAACTAGATATAAGCCATAGATTTTTTAAAAAAAGTCAATCTTATTTTGACATCATTGCATAGGATAAAACTATAACTAGTTTAGTTTAATTGAGATAAGCAAAATTCCTGCAAGTAGGCCTTAAGGCCACTTGCAACCATTTTGTTCAATCTCGATTCTAGATTTAGCAAAATGGCTGCAAGAGGAACTTATAATATTAAGTGGGATTTACTTACGTAGTTCGGTTCTGTCGCCGCAGTCTACATTGAAGGGTTGGTCGCACTTGTTGATCTTCCTGATGAGGGGGTCGAACACAAGCCCGTCGGGGCAAAGCTTCTCCCTGGCAACGCCGTCCACGCACTCGTAGAACTTGTCGCACTGTCTGTCATCTTCGTACTGTCCGTCCTTGTTGGGGCATTTGAATTGAGCACCTAGAAGGATAAAAGATGTTTTGATTAATAAAAACTCATGCGGTAGCTCGAACACTAGATTATGTAGGTGCTTAAGTCACATTTCTATATGACAACCTTTCACCTAAGATGAAATGATTACACTTTCCTGCGCGTGATTTCACAAGCTCCAATAGGTCATTCTGCTGGGTGGCTTATCCCAGTAACTATTGAAGCTGTGGCATATTTATCTACGGAAAAAAGAAGGTAAAGAAACAATCCGGATAAAACAAGAATCCGATCTTAATAAGTAGAAAGAAACAGAATGACTATTTGTAATTAATGTCGAAACACTTTTTTCTGCGTTATTTTTTGCATGCAAATTATGTTTTTCAGTTGTGCTCATAAATCAAATACTTCTTCATTTAAATCATTCTTATGATTATTTTTACTTGTGTCGTGTTCGCTTCTGCGGTGCCGTTTGAGTCGCTCAATGTCCGTCATGTTAGTACGAGTACTATTAACCACTCAATGCTATATTTTCTCAAACTGTTCTGGCGTATGTTTGAACTTGTTGCGTCTAACCATGCTCGTACCAACGGTCCACCACAAACCAAAAATCGTAAATATTTTTATATTCATCTTTCAGATCCTATTCTGTGGAGATTTCTCATTTTATTCGGAAAAGAAGAAAATGAGACAAAGACATAGAAAAAATATGTCATTCATATAGTAAAAGTTTATTTAAACACATAAAGAGGTGTTAATTTTATAAATAATAATAAAAAATTTGTTGTCATGTATGTGTCAACTCAGAATTTATAGGTTGTTGCGAAGGATATGTATTACGTTAGCGCTATTCGCATTAAAGTTTGGCAATCAATTTTTCGGTAGAATGAATTAGTGTCTGCAAGTTTTTTTCACTTATTACCGTACGAATAAATCACCTGCAGGCATTTTATGTGCAGAATAAATTTACTCAAAAGATATCACAGTCGTTTATTTAAGGACGTCGTTTTGTGGAATTGTAATCATTCCGCTTTGCATTTCGCTTTTTAATTTAATATTATTTTTTAAAATTGCCACGCAGTAGTATAATTGAACCGACACGCTTCCTGTGCCTAACTTATTACCGAAGTTAGCTATTGTTGGAAGTGGACTTGTCTTAATTTGACCAAAACTGAATTTAGCACATAGAATTATGTCAAATTAGCATTAACATTTTGTCTTTTTTCTATTGGTAAAGCAAGTTTTAGTTGGATCGAAATTTATCAAATTTGCTGCAAGTGGACCTTTACACTTTTGTATTGTTTTTATAATTTTTTATAAACTTCTTTTTTCTGTCTATAAATATAATATTATAACGAAAACTTTGCAGATTTATGATGCCATATCCTATAGAAAGTTTTACTAACCCGGTTTTAAAATCTATATGATATATTTAATAAAATAAGGATCGCTCACTTAAAAAAAAGACGCTTGTGAAAGTCGAAACAGGTAAATAGGTCTGAGTGTTCGGTGATCTGCGAGGAGGGCAAATCAAGTTTTTTTTTCTTACATAAGCACACATTACGCAAGAGTGAACGTCGATATTGTGTTCCGCTGACATGCTGACATGTATTTGCATGTTCGTTCAGCATCATTATCACACCACTTTGTCTTGTATGTACATTAGGACAAGATATAAAATAATGTACATCTCGTAGACACCGCACCGTAGTGGATTTGAGAACAGTTCATGTAGTTTTTTGATTTTCATAAGTATTTTCACTAGTATCAGCCTAAACTGAGTATACGATATCGTATTTGGAATAGATTCGATTTATGTTCTTTTCATCATGTTTCAGTTTCTACAGAATAAATATCAATAATAGAAAAAAAACTTGCTGAGTTTGGAGCGACATGACAACAGAACCGACTGTTTTGCATAAAGATTTTACATGCGTATAGTCTCTGTTATATTTTTAAAACGATTGTATGTGACTTTGGTTAATAGTATCTGAACTGTCACAATTTTTATCCGGAAAGGTATTGAGAAATGTGACGTTTTTAAAGGATTTTTTCTCTCTTCTTTAAAGTTAACTTAACATTTTTTATCTTATTATATCTTATATCTTATATTAGTGGATGACAATATTTTTTCTGAGTGGAATAATTATTTTCTTGTGAATCAAATGTGTAACAGTCGAACATTTAAGTTCGAATATATAATATGAGTCAGGATTTTATCATTGTAACCGTATGACCCCTTGCTGCTAACATGCCTAACGATTGTTTAATGAATTTGAATGAGTTAAAATGAAAAAAACAAAAATCAATTTTGTAATTTTTTTAAGTAGGTATCTTCAGTACCTACTCCGGAAAATTCGATTTTGTTTTGTGTGTTTAACTGATATGTTATTTTTCACAATAATTAGAATATGGAAAAGTTTTGAGTAAGAAGGCTATCTTGTAACATTTTAATAAAGCTCATTAAACTCCTTCAAAAGTTTCATAAAATATCAAAGTTTTAAAAAGTGCCTGTTTTCCAAGTTTACTTAGTCTCTCCTAATACTTAAATGCCTTTCCAGAAACGTTCATTAAAACATTACGAATTTTGCATCTTCCTAGAAGCACTCATGGTTGCACATCTTCTTAAAATGCCAACGCGTTAAACAAGCTTATATTTATCCTTAACATTTACTTATGGAAATGTTCAAATGTCACTCATCTCATTTATACGATGTTATGTAATTACTTGTCGACAAGAAATGGTTATTTGAAATTCTAATTAAAAGGTGAAGGCCGTTCCAATAATGTGACACATATGCTTGGGGATCTAGATATATGATTACCATTTTCAACTCATAGAAACAAGAACAAATCAAATATAAATAAAACTAGTTTTCTTTTGTAATCTAAATTGATTAATTTGCAAAATGGATGACCGTCTGGTCTCGATATTATAAGGAAACTCTTCTTCTTGTAACAATAATTAAAGCTTCTAATTCAAAGTAGTATAATAAAATCTTAGATTGTTTTCTAAGGGGGCAAAAAAATATTTTAAAGGAGAGAGCGTTTTTAACCCCCGACGCAAAAAGATAGTACTCGTATGTCGCCCGAACTTTAAAATAGTGTTGCTCCCGAGGTGGGCCCTTTACTTTTTATCACACTCTGTGAGAAAATAAATAAATTCAACTAACTTTTATAGCGCCGGATACAATGTTTTTAGGATTATGATATTTTCATTCTCACTACTTATTGAGCAAAACACACAAATTTGTAGTACAAAAGCAAGTAAAATCCGAATTTGAGAAATAAGTTAACAATTATGAACAGATTCCACGAGATTTTTATTCATTCACGAACTTTTTTAATTTAATTTTAAAAGCGCGCGGTTTCATTTCTATACAGCCTGTGACTTGTTCATAGTTTGTGATTGATCTCCTTGGTAATTGGAACCTATATCTATATTCCTGATTCAAATGACATTTTGTCCTTAAAAAATACTTTTAAATAATTTTCCTGCAGTAAATCAAAAAAGATTCTACATACTAACTTTTCTACTCCATGCGCCCGCGCAAAGCGAATGAGAACTCCATTAACTTGACCTAGTTTTTCGAATTCCGAACGTACCTACGTGGGATCATAATAATCGGTGGTGCGAGTATCGGCGGAGGCGGGCTCGGTCGGGTCGGGTATCGCAACAGGCGGGCCGCGGTTACGCAACGAAGTGAAAGTGAGGTGCAACTTGCGACACGATGCATCACCGATGCATCTGTAGATGCCTACCTACTGTCGACCCCGAAATCGACCCGGTGATTTTATTTGATTAGACTAGGTACATACAAAATAATGCGTGGTAGTTGATAAATCCGCACAATACATATAAAATACTACATGATTTGTGTGACAAACATTACTTGGAAATAGCGACCGATTTAGCTAATTTATTATTTTCGTTAATCAGCATCCGCCTAATGCTGGATCACAGGTCTTCCCTATGGATGGAAAAGGGAGATTGGGCCATAACCCACCACACAGGTCCAGTGCGGATTGATGGGTGCTAACGACTGCGAAAGTTGCTTAACTTCAACGATCGCAGCCGATGCGCTATCTGTCAAATTAATGAAAATGTGGTCAAATGAAGATCTAGTCATTTTGCAATCTTCGGCATTATGCGAGGTAGTCAATTTAAGATCTAGACGAAATGATATGTAGTCTTTTTGCGATATCTTCATTAATGAGGGTAAGTCACACTGCGACCTAGACAACCTGAATTCAACCCATCAAATTGGCTGATAGTACCTATCCAAATCATTCCCTTGTGAAGCTATAAAGGATAACTTTACCTGACCTAAGATGTTACCGATATTTTTCTTTAATTACTAAAACGTTAAATTCCATAATTGCCATGAGAATAAAGTTATGGCCGTTCTCCCTATTCCTTCGATGTGGAAGTCACATGCCTCAGCAGTAAACACTTCTCAGCTTTGATTTGTTACTAAATGTTTTGTCTCTTAGGCCCGTATTACAGATTGACAACTAAGTGTTGATCTTTACTTGAGCATAGTTAGAAAGGGATATCGCTATGTGCTATATGTAGCGACATCCCTTTCTAACTATGCTCAAGACTAGATCAATCACTGAGAATCTTTCTATAATACGGGCCTTAATGTGTTTGTTGAATGACAAATGGTATTTGAGTGTAAAGAACAAAACACGGTGTAACTAGTCTAAGCTTATACCTCATTTATTAATAAGGGAGTAAGTGGATGATGACTAGTAAAGAATAAAATTGTAGAGTCGTACTCAAATCAATAATAAATGATAAGCTGTTTGTCGCTTCGTACATTACGAACATGAATATTTTTTACCTTAGTATACAACCTAATGTGAATATGAAAAGATTTGTTAGACACAATTCGATAAAACGTCGGTATTATAAATATTTATAAAGTGTCGTATTTTGCACCTAAATATTTATTTAACTACACAGAAACTGATTTTTTAAACTTGTATCGTTAATGCATTATTAAGTATTAGTTAATGTATTATGCATTCATTGACCAATATTATTTAACGTACGAAATACTAAAGGTTAGTAAGTATGTTTAAAACTGTAATTAATTGGGTACTTAATTAGACGTTCTTTAGTAACAACTTCATCTATGGGCCTACTTAATCATTATGATTGCAACAATAAAGATGCCATTTGAATAGTAATGTGGATTTTGTTTACATCAGCTTTAATATAAGAATGTGTTAACTTTAATTTGTAACAACATTTCCTTTGCATATGATGAAGTTTTTTAGTCAATGTAAAAAAAGAAAATAGAAAAAGATATATTTTGTAACTTATGACCTCGTTTTTATGGTGCCAGCTTTCTTCCTAGGTGCAAACCACGTAAAGGTTTATTATAATAGCTGTAAATTCATCGCTTACTATGATAATTTTAATAAATACCAAAGAACAACATTGGCCAGATCATACAGGTCATAATGAATATGACAAAATCCTAAAGTCTAAATATTTTTAAAGATTTTTTTAACTCGTCGATCATACCGGTATATCGTGATGTTTTGTCTCTTTTTTAGGTATTTAAGCTGGTAGTTACATTAGAATTGCTAAATGTATATCAATTATAGACAAAGATCGAAATAGATAACTGACAATTGTATGCACTTCACGTGCCAAAATAAATAAATATATATATCAATCACTCACACCCATTAGCCTAGCCCCAAAGTAAGCACTGTAAGGTTTGTGTTATGGGATACTAGGGTAACGGATAGAATACATATACTGTACATATATAAGTATATTTATATAGAAATACACATTAGACATCCATGACTGGACTACAAATTCTGGTATCCATCAGACCATCATCTGCCCCCACCGGGATTCGAACCCGAGACCTCTGGAGTCGGAGGCACCATGAAACCCGGCGTACAAACCACTCGTCCAAAGGAAGACGTCATCCTTTGGCGCTAATTTATTTCTTCTCGTCACCGTTCCCGATACGTCAAGATTATGAGTTACCTACAATGCAAAAAGATGGTGCTGCCTTGCAGCCTAAGAAAGGCTAGAGAAAATTCGACACGGCCATCAGGGCCGCGGTAGCATAATGGTCAGTGCATTCCCCCGATAGCGAAGGGTGCGGGTTCGAGTCCCATCTGCTGCCTGGACCGCGGGGATTTTTTTCTAGTAAAATTTTCATAAAAGATGCAAACAACTAGCAGTTAAATATATTTAAAAAGAATCTAATTATGTCATATTAAGCTGTAAAACGATATAATTGAGATAGATGAACGGGGACCATGCTTTTTCGTCACTTATTTGTTCTCGTGATTACTAAAAAATATCGGTTACCATACAATTCCAAGTATTAAATCTTTTTCAGTCTAGGTCCGTGGTATAACTAGACGCGGTAAAGCAAACAATCTGTAGGATAATTGTATTGACAGATATATTTGGTCAAATAGGTTGCGCCGCTTCAGTGCAGTACGTAACATTGACAAAAGAATTTGACTACTTATTAAATTTGCGTAAAGTTTAATATCAGTGTGTCAACACAGCAGTCGCAATCGCTAGGCCGTAGAAATCCTGTGTGATTGTGCTTTTTTGAAATTGCAAAGGAAAAGGCGGTGAATGTCAATGTCGATTTCCTAATCAAAATCATTCGACTGTGAACTCGCAGGCATTGTCCGGTCTGTTTGTTTTCGTTTGGTTATTTTATTTCCTTTTATTTGTTTTTATGTAAGTAAGTGAAACTTACTTTCTCGTTCAATAGTCTATATTCATTCATTCTTCAACTTTCCATTTGTAGAAACTACTTACTGAAGTTAAATTTGAATTAGGTTAAGTTTATATCGATATCTTTGTTTAGAAGTTAGTGGTAGACTAGGTGTGCCCCGCGGTGTTATTTGCGGTTTGTTAGGGATATTTTCTCGCAATAAAACTTAGCCTATGTGTTAATAAAGGTAGTCAGTAACTCCATACCAAATATTATTAAAATCGGTCCAGCCGTTTAGACGTGAATAAGTAACAAGCATACACACTCACAAACTTTCGCCTTTATAATATTAGTGTGATAATAACAATAGTTGATATATAAAAAGTCATATCTTTTAACAGTTTCAAATAACAACCATTTGTATGATATATTATAAAGTTAATTTAAAACATGAAACTTGAATTTAAAAGTAACTGATTACTTGATATAAAACAGTCATGACTATTAATGGTTTAATTACTTTACGATTTGAAATACTTATTTAATTATAGAATTTGTGGCAATATTTTCTAATTACTGTTAATGAGTAACATGCTTTACGACATTTTACGTAAACAATTGCAAATAAATAATGATGTAATTTGTAACAGACGTGCCATCGTAGTTCCTATGTATTTTTTAATAAATTTGAAAAACAAAGATATGCGTTATGGCTGTGGCAAACGGAGATCATAAGTTTATCTGATATGTAAAATTGTTTATAGAAGATGTGTGATCGGGTGTGTTACATGACACATGTTTGACTTATGTATGTCAGAACTTAATTATGATATTTGATATAATTACGAAATTAATATATTAATTTCATTCACATACAAAACGTTCAATTATATTATGATCTTTATTAGTTATCGAGTATGACAAGAGAATTCAAATTGTATCGATAAAATATATTAAATTTGCATATCTTTTCAAAGGCGAGACAAACAGGTCTCTAGTCCTGTTACCATCACCATGTTCCTTGAAAATAAAAATTGTTATAATCTTAATTGTCATAAAATTGCATTAAGTTCATGTTAATGTAATAGTTAGGCGGGAAATAGGTAGCTTTCGCGCTTTTGAAGGTTCTGTACGTGTGAAGGGTGAAACGGAACTTTTTTTTAAATCTCGGTGTCAATCCCTTTGACAGTATGATGAATCTCATAAGCCGGTTGAAGTTTTACAAATTGTGTGTTTTTAACCATTTTAAGGAAATATATTACCTGAGTAAAAAGATCAGATGAAGTGATAAATTGAATGCAATGCGTTTCAAATCAAGTCCGAATCGTACATTGGCTTTACAAAAAGTGTTGATTATATTCCTTTGCTTTTTACAAATGGCAGACAGTTTCAAACAAAACTTTTTTTACTGGGTAGCATTAGAAAGCTTTGGTGACTTTACTTTTGCAGAATAATTCATGTTACCGTAGCGATTGAGAATTCTAAACATCACTAAATACACTAGACAGAGAAATCAGATCACTATTTTATTTTTACGATAATTAAGTAATCTTTATTCGTCTAATCTAATACCTAACAGGTTAATAAAAACATTGTTTGAATATAATCCCATTCCATAAATTACACTTTTGGCACCAAAAGGAAGCATTTTTTTAAATCACTCAAAGATGCTACTTCAAATGCACACACACACAAACATTAACTAAGTTATCTGACATGACTTTAATTTTTAGTCTACGAACTCGTTTTAAGATATCGAGAACAGGGGCTTGGCCTATCCGATCGTAAGTTTATGTTTTATAATTCTTTCGCAACAATTATGTTAGAGTGTGAGGAGTGCTGTCTGTCACATAACTCACTGTTATTCGCTATAGTTATATAAGCTAAGACCTACTTTGATTACTTCAATTGATTTAACACGCGAAAACCATAAGAGACGTATATACTAAGTGAATATGTTTTGTTTTAAAGTAAGTTTAATAATTTTGTCACCACTTAACATCACGTGGGGTAAAGTCGTTTGCCTACGTGGCTTTATAAAAAAAATTACGGTCTTTCTTTGTAAAATTAGCTGGTTCTATATTTTCGTATATTCATAAAATAAGGTAATCATTATATTGTATTAAAATACCAAAAACACAAATCAAGATAATTAATCACTTTATGCTTTATTTAATTAAATATAAATATTAAATAGTAAGTTTATTAAACGTATTGCGTTGATGTCTTTTGTACTAAACAGATTGCTTTTTATAACTCTGTTGTTCAAATTACTTTTTAATATTTTACTATAACATTCCCTATTTTTCATTTAATATATTAATAAAGTCAACCCATATTTTATGAATATCAATTAATTAAATCAACTCAACTTACTCGCTAAAGCGGTGGCTGCCGCCAATACGATGAACACTTTCATGTTGACCTTTCGTTTGCAAAACGATTGAAAAAAAGATATAAATTTAATGACTAGATTTCGGTCCGACCCCTCTGGCGACCCTGGTGAGACTGACGGACGCGGGCGCCGCGCTCGCCTTTTCTTTCTGACCTGCGCGCACGCACTTAGAACCGGTACGAAGACTTAGGTGTGATTCAATGAATTCCAGCTGTGGAAACAATACTAATTTGCTTGTTTCGCGGTTGCATAGGCCCCCAATCAGTTGGGGACTTCATTAGGCACGGAATTTTTGCAAAATATTTAGACCGCACCGCACCATTTGCCTACCACAAAGTACTTCCGCGAGTATCCCTGCGAGTTGCCACTGCGGAAAGTGCGACTTCATATTAGGCAATGGGGCTGTGATCAAATCCTTTTAGTTGTCTGTGTATGGCGTGATTAATCAGACCTATGTATGCATATGTTGATTTCTTAAATAATACTCCATATAAATACTGGTTTTCCCAAAAAGTGCTACAAATTGATTACATTCGAACAAAGTTCATTGTAAACAAAATACAGACAAAGGTGTAAATAACTGCAATCGCCCAAGAACAAAATACGTTTATAATATTTATGTTAAGCATTTAACTTCCAAATTTGGGCCCCGTCTGATGCCTGGACTGCGTGGATTTTTCAGTGCCTATTTTATCGCATTTTCGACATTTTTTTTTTATAATAATAATAACTTTATTTGGAACAAGTGCAATGTACATAAAATTATGAATCGTTATAACTGCTTTAGTTTTACAAAAACTGTGTTGCAGAATTAACGCCCATTCCCGTATAATATGAAACAGTGTTCCTATCAATGTATAAAATTAATTTAAATCAAACCTGTGTGAAGTTGCAGCAGATAATATTACTGTGCCTGCAGCCTTTATAATATTACTGTGATAATATATCAATATTATCACAGTAATATTATAAAGGCGAAAGTTTGTGAGTGTGTATGTTTGATACTTCTTCGCGTCTAAACGGCTGGAGCGATTTTAATGAAATTTCGTGACACCCTGGATTAACATATAGGCTAGGTTTAGGGTTACTATATAGGAATTTCAAAAGTCCTGACTAAAAACCTGACATTTCGGAAAAAGTCCGGACTTTTTAGGCACAAAATGGTACCATTACTCACTTAGTTACAATTGTATGGTATTTAAATCAATATGTACATTTACTATTCATATTTAATGTAATTTGAAAAATCCGGCCTTTGTCCGGAAAGACCGGACTTTTTTCTAAGAGTCCGGACATGACTGGACTAATCAGGACGAATGGTAACCCTAGCTACGTTTTACTGCGGGAAAATATCCCTAATAAACCGCGGGTTATTACCCGCGGTATTCCGCGGGGCACAGCTAGTAATAGATAAATCAAGCAAAGGACAATCCCTTTTTCCCAGTGAATTTTAAGTTAAGGGAGAGTGGGGTGGAAAGTGCCCGGGGTAAGTTGTTCCGATGGAAATATCTAAAAAACAGAAAGATATGTTCCTATTGTGTCTGGTGCACAGACAATCTAGCGCATGCGCGGCGGCTATTATATTTGGGCCAGAGACTTGGACCTAATGGCAGTGTGTACAGTGATCCTTTAATACCACAAGAGTAAAATTAGGACTAAGTGCGGAAACCGCCCTGGAAAACTAACTAACAAGAGTAAATATTTTTGCGTTCATACATTTTGGTCAAATATAAACTTGTCCATGCTCCATCTACAGTTGTTAGCACCCACGGCACTGTGCCCGCCTAGAGGATCATGGTCCCGTCTTTCTATTCCATCGATATGGAAAGCCTGTGTATCAGCAGTACATTAATATGCTTATTATAACAGTGAAACATAAAATTAGTTAGCGTATACTTATGAGCTTCGCCACCTAGTTCGGTCTCTTTTTTATAAGCCCAAATTTATCAAAATTTATTTAGATCTGTAAGCGTGAAAGCATAACAGACAAAGTTACTTTGTTTTTATAATAAGTGTAGATAGATATTAGCATGGATGCAATGAATATATTATATTTACTGTTACATTTGACTGATTCAATTCAAAGAAAAACTTATATTTCTATTCAGGCCAACATTTACCTAACTGTAGTTAACAAAAAAGAGCACGCTATATGTCGCGCATATTGAAGTTCACGTTCAAGGCGAAATAGGGTAACAATACAATGGTGCATAGGTACAAAAATTATCGATAAGCTGACCACAAAAATAGCACCAAATTGAATAGAGATATAAGTATTTATACTTCAGTTAAAAATTTATTTCCCATTTCCATAGCTGGATCTATTCTGTATCTAGATTACATAGTAATATTATTTCGGGTTAAAAAAAATATTACTTAAGGCCACCTGCAACAAATTGCTTCATTAAATTATCCCGAAAAACATATTTGCAGTATCAATTAGTGTATTTCTATTAAAGTTTTAAAGTGGAGCTCTCCAAACAGGTATGAAATTCATTATTTTACTTGTGTCGATCGGTTCTTTGGAATATTTTGCGAGTAACTGCTTAAAACCTTCCCAAAAAGCAGTACAATGCCGCTTATCGGATATTTTGCCTTATACTTATTTGGCAGCGTTCATTACTTTGTGCTTCACACAGCGCTATTGTTAATTATTATATTACACACACAAACAATGACTTAAAAATGTGAAAACAAACGTGTTCCCACCTTCTTACAATCTGGGGTCCTTTAAGAGAGGCGTGAAGAAGAATTTTTTCTGCCTGCAAAAATGCTTCTTCTGGTGAAGATGGTTGATGTAGCAGTTTACAACTGCTGTACAAGCTATCTTCGCGTTTGGACTTTATCACCACTTAACATCATTATAAATATAAATTATAGCAACATATATGTTGCTATAATGTATATTTATATATGTATGTATGTGTAGGTATAAGTAATTAATGCTTTTTAATGTTTTCTCTGTTCGTTGTCTGCCGTTTCATTTTCTCTGCACCTTCTTTCCGGTTGACTGGTAGAGAATGCCATACTGGCACTAAGTCTGCCATTTGCATTGTAAAGGCAATAAATATTAAATAAATAAAAAATAACATCAGATGGGGTAGTCATTTGCATACCACGCTATAAAAAAAAATACAAAGCTACTTTCGCTATGGTCAATCTTAGGATAGCTGACCAAAAATGTATTATCTTCAGACTGCTTCTGCAATCGGTAGCATCCACCCGCGTCGTGGGTCATGACCGAAGCACCCTATTCCATCCGTAGGAAATGCTCCAGCAGTGGGGATATTAATAGGCTGACGATGATAAACGGCGTAAATCCCTCGGGAACTCAGTAAAAGGTCCAGTTTAGCACCGTCATGCAAATTCCTGCTCTATCATATCAGCGACATCAAGTACGGGCTTCCCTGTTTGTATCTCGTGTTAGCAACAGAGGGATTGCTTTTTATTAATTTCTAAAATGTTTGCATGTCTGCGAGAAGGCTAAACACATGTACTTGTTTATATAAAAAGACCTTTGTAAACTGTGTTTGTGCAAATAAAATATTTGACTGGCAAAACGTTATTATGTCTTATTTACTCAACAAAAGATTTATCATGTCATTTTTTACATTATTTTGATTTTTATTTAATAAGAACACTACTTACTTATTATTACTCTCAATCAATGGGAGAAATAATACTATATATTATTGGGACCCAATAATAATCTTTGCCATAGAATTTTTATATATAGATGTAGATGAAGTGAAAACTTGTTTGGATGGGAATCCAAACAAGTTTTCACTTCAAAATGACCTGTCCATAGTAGATTTTCTGACTCCTTTTCTTTTATTATTATTTTTATGCTTCTGAAAAAGACCTGAAGCCTTCTTGCGTGCGGACTCCGCCCCGCTCATTAAACTTATTCAACCTAAAAACGTAGTACATTTCCCGTATAATAAAACCTGACTCAATTCAGGTAATAAAGTATTTGCGTGCCTTTCATAAAAATCCGTTCTACCGCATTTGCCAGATCAGTTAAAAAACACAATAACCTTTTAAATAGAAGGACAATGAAGAAACATACAAACCACCACTTTTATAGTATAAAGTGGATTATTTTGTTTTATTATAATCATAATAGCTTTCCATTAAAAGAGCTAGGCTTAGTAGAATTTACACTCGAATTGTAGGATCCGCCGCCCGGGAAGAGCTTCGACCTTACTTAATTTGTATGGGAAACCATTTTACCACAGAGACAAAGTCACTGGCACACACAATGGTAATATAATAATGTCACTTAATACAAATTAATAAAGTATTAGGACCTATTTACTTTATTTTTTATTTTGTCGTTATATCTATACTAATATATAAAAAGGAAAGATTTGATTGTTTTTTTGTATTGAATAGGCTACGAAACTACAGGACCGATTCGTAAAATTCTTTCACATTTAGAATCCTTCATTATCCGTTATGAATATAGGCTATAGTATATTTTCAAAAAAGTAAGGGTTCCGTATGTAAACTTCGATAATGTAATTCAACGTGTGTAAAAATACCAATAAATATCATTATATCGCGTACGCTGCGGAAGTCAATGACAATAGAGCAATGTGATGAACTAAAGTTTTATAGAGGATATCAATATCCACAAAAAAGAGTGTAACTGTCATAATTATGTCACAACTAGAGGTCCCCTGCGGTTGCACCCGCGTTAATTTGAAGAAAAAGGTTACAGTGAGTCAAATTTAAAATATGGACACATGATCTCGCGAACTTTTTTATAGAACTGTAAAAGGGGAACAATTCCAGTATACTTGATTATTATGTAACTTTAACCGGTTACCTAGCGCACGCAACGGAATCTCACAATTAGAATATTTTTACCCGTTTTTGCAACATTTTTCATCGATGCTCCGCAGCTACTGGTCGTAGCCTGATGTTATATAGCCCATAGCCTTCCTCGATAAAAGCACTTTCCAATACAAAAATATTTTTTCATATCGGAACAGCAGAGCATTGGTGCATTTGGTACAAAGGGTCCTAAGCTACGCAACAAATTTTTCACTTGGAATGGAAGGTAATTAAAGGGATATAATTCCAAAGGAATGGAAGGGATATAATTATTATGAAGAAGTCCACGGGAAGATTAGTCATTGTATATAATAAAAGGCTTTGAACTAAAACTATATT